AATTTTTTTCATATATATTTATAGAATCAAAAACATTTTTGAAGAAAGAGTCTTCTTATTTTAAGTAGCATATTAAGTTCACTGATACAACAGAGGAATTAATAGAGGAGGAATTTTTTTCAACCTTTTTCACACTCATAAATCGTAGCAAATACAAACATTTTAAACAAAACAGTATTCTCAAAGGACAGCGTCAGAAAAAACAGACATTCTGAAAAAGAAATGGATAATCAGGAAATACGAGAATCTTTTGCTAATGCAATGCATGACCACTCTGTACTGCCCTACGACATGGCATGACTGTGCTGTAAAAAAGGACATCAGATGGCTCTGAAAAGCACCTATCCTTTCCCACCTGCTGCATAAAAGCAGAAAACCAATGATATCTCCTAGAGGGTGTGATGCTGAGCTGGTGTAAAAGATATGAGGATTGTCAACTTCAAGAAAAGTTTTTAGGACAAGAAGAGGCTTTTGAGCAACTTGGCAGCTGGACAATTTAGAATGCTAATGGCAGGACTCCACACTCATGAATCAAGTCAGGTTACTGTGGAAAAGTTAAAATGGAAAAATGCCCATACTTCAGAAGCTTTTAAAATTAATATATTGTTCATGGAGGTGGCAGGACTGTTTGGAGTGCAGGCCGAAGTCTCCTGACTTCATTCATGCCATGCTCAGTTTAAGCCAGCTGAGGTCTGGTGGTGAGCTGGAGTGTTTGCAGCTACTATATGTGTCAGGGTTTTTTTCCTCTGGTGGTGGTGGTAGTGGGACTATTTCTTTGTCTCTCTCTTTCTCTCTTTCTCTCTTTCCCCCTTTCTCTCCCTCTCCCTCTTTCTCTCCCTCTCCCTCCACCCCCCTCTGTTTTTTGGCCAGCAGTTCCTGTAGTTTGATGAAGCCCTTTTGTACTACTTACATTCAGGTGCTTTTGTCAGTTCAGAAGCAGCTTTCTGCCAGCGCCTGGCATCCCTCACAGTGCAATGTGATCAGAAGGGAAGTGAATATGCCTTTAGTTCATTTACAGCAACACCTTATGCCTCTCGAAGGAATATCCCAAAGTGATTTTATCTCCGTCTCTGCAGCTAGCTCTGGGATGGTCCTTTCCAGCCACAAGCAGGACTTGTGGAAGGAAAATGATAGTTAATATGCTCCTGATGTAAACTGCAGTGAGTATCTATGGAAGCAGAAGTTCATTCTCTCTCCTGAAATTTAACCAAGACAGCCAGCTTAATATCTTTCCTTTTCCAAAGAGTGGGTTCTTCAGATATTGCAAGAAAGCTAGCTTCAACCGCAAAAAATGCAACCATCTCTTGCAGCGCAGTGCCCCCTAGCACTGTCTCTACACATTCATGCAGGACTGAGGGAAGAAGGCCACTTTGCTCAGTCAACAACACCTGCAGGACATGGCTTTCCCTGGGAATTTTCACACCAACTATTGACCCAGCCCGGTCATGCTTAGCTTGTGGGATCCGACAAGATCACAGCGTGAAGTGGTGTGGCTGCCCAGTAAAGCAGAGAGATCCTTAATTGTGTTCAACAGTGTGTTCTTGGTGGAGGACTAGAAGAACATAGATTTCTTTATTTGGTGACATTAACCAAACGTGAACTTTAATTTTCTCATATGAAGATCAAGGTCTTTATTTTCTCCTTCTTTCTCTGCTACATTTTTTATGGCCATGTAAGGCTTAAAGTTTTATCTAGGCAAAGGAGCTGAATGCTAGTTTTGTTTTTATTTTTTCCCTTTGCAGTTTCTCCCATGCAGACAGGGCATAGAACGGCAATTCAGATAGAGTTCTCCTTTCAGTTCCTTCATTGACTTTCTGTGTTACTTTGACCCCATTATCAAAATTTTCTCCTATAAATAAACACTTGGAACCCCTGCCTGGCTCTTCCAGAGTGCACTTTACTGGTAGGTCTCAAAGGAGAGAGGCTAATCTCGAATATCTAATAGATATTATTAGAGGATAATATACAATATCTCTATTTAAAGATGATAAAATGAACGTGCAGGCAGGTTAAATGATTTAACCAAGGCCTCCCAGCAGGCCACTGGCCAGACTAAGTTTTCCTGAGTATTAATTACCCGTGATTTACAAAAATAAAGCACTCTGGTTTCTGTGTATGAAAGGTACCCTTTAAGTGGCAAATAAATATTGTTATTATTGTACAGTATACAGTCCTGGTTGAAAAACCTGCATCCCTACTACTGTAGAGAAGTTAATCTCTTTTTCAAAAGAATATCTAGGTGTCAAAAAAGCAGGTGAATCAGCTAAGTCCTAACTGATAGAACACAGGTACTACTACTCCAGGCAATGCTAATACATGCATTAAAAAATTTCTGGATCACCGCTCAAATACTGCTATAAAAGGCAGTGGTAAGCCGCGACACACAGACAGCCTGCACACCATCCCTTCCAAACAGATGTGCCCTGCCACTGGATCAAACCGTGGCACTCCTTTTCATCCTGAAAAGTAATCGCAGATTACTTCTCTGGGTTATATCTGAAAAGTGAACTAGATCCTGTAATCAGCACAAACTCCATGTTACTTTAACAAGTTTGGTCAGCCTCACTGTAAATGAGCTACTTCCATGCCTTGGAGGGCCCTGTGTAACTTCAGTAACTTCTAGCCCCCTTTCTCTCCCTTTTCAGAAATTGAGAAGATCACCGAAGGGTTTGTTTTTCGGTCTCCTCTGAATGTGTCCTGCATCTGTGTATTGTAGTGACTCTTAGCATTCACACAGCACCCAACATCTTTAAAGCTTATTACAAAACATTCAGCTTGTTAGTCCTCAGAACATGCAGGAAAGTTGTTATTATAGAAATGAAGAAACATACTCAGAGGAATTAGTTGGCCAGAGAGTGAAGGGAGGTGGTGCTGGAGCTGTGATTATAATCTAGTTGTGTGTGGGCCAAACTCTTTGTTATTTACACCAGTGTCAGGTTATGGAATAACTCCACTTCTCTCAGATACTGATCTGAGATGTTGATAGACCAGGTGTATCATGATGTTGGTGATATCAAACTTTTTACAACAACAAAGAAAAAATGAAAGTGCCAGACACACCTCATTTTTCTTCCGTGTTACTCTGCTGAGGTCGGTGGACTTGTTCCTTGTTTACACCCGGTAAGACTGAAATGACAGTCCAACCTGACAGATTCAACTTCAGCTGTAGTACCTTGAACAGCCAGTCCAAGCACCTAAGGAGGGTTTCTCATATTGCAATTTGGAGCCCAAGGATTCAGACACTGATGTGCCTAAATTGAATGTCCTGTTTAATACCCTGCCTCATACATACTTATATGACCCGTTAGCACCTCAACACCATCTAATTTTTTCAGTGTGTTCACTAATCCACATTCCTGATAAGCTCCCATCACTATTATCCCCATTACACAGATTGGGATTTGAAGCAGTGTGAGGTGAAGCTGTCACACAGGTTGTCTGTGTCACAGCAAGGGTAGGAACCTGTGTTTCCCACTGTTAGCACTGTAACCTCAATCTCTACTAGCAACACCCATCTTGAAGCTTTTGTGTACCGATGCTCCAAATAAAAGCATGTGTTTCTATAAGACTGGAGGTTTTAATTTTATATGGACGGTATGATTAAAGAAAAGGTGTAGGCAGGCTGTGCTTCACCCAGATGGAGCAGAATTGTAAATCTAAAGACTTAGCTGACTATTTAGAAATTTAGGACAGCTGGTCCCTGGCCTTTAATACCAGCATAATTTATAACTAGACATGCTTAAGTCTTGTAAACCCCATGGAAAGTACTCTGACATTATATACACTGGTTTGATACTGTGATTAATCACCCCTCAGTCCCTTTGCAGGATAATAAGGCTGTCTGTATCTTGCAGCTGGCAATCTCATTCCTTACAATCCCAGCTCTTCTCTAACATTTACATTTCTACAGCTGATAGAAATTTATGTTTCCAAAAGGGGATAAGGGAAAACAAAACAAACAGGACTTTTCTATAAATTCCACTAAAGCTGCTCTGCTAAAATATACTTTGAGATTAAATGTTGGGAGTGCCTGGGTAGATACGATACTGCTTCTTCCAGCTCGGTTTTAGCAGTTTATGACCCCTTTCTGATTGAAAGCCCTGAGAAGGGGAAATGATGGGTTGTGGTGGGGTGACAGGAGAAGAAGGAGCAGGATTAAAAACCGCAGGATGTAATCCCAGTTTACAGTTCAGCTAGGTCCTGTCTTTCTTTTCCTCCATCCTCTTTTCACTGCCTATTGAAGGAGGAAAAGAAGGAACACACTGCACCCCTCTTGCGTTTTCTGATCGCTTTCTGAAAGCCCTTTAGAGTACTATTTCACCTCCTCCAGTTTAAAATCAGCCTGCAGACAGCCTAGATGGTGTCGAGGGAAACAGCCCAAGCTTTCCAAGCGAACAACAAACTCCGCGTGTGTTTTCCAGGTGCCTCTTCGCACCCTGAGGTGCGGAGCGGGGTGGCCGAGGGGAGGCAGGTCCCGACTGGGGTGGCGGGGGACTGCTCGGGGCAAGACCCGTCCGGGCACTGACCGCCGCGGGACGGATACTCGCCGATACCTCGGAGGTACTAGTTTTTAAGAGTTTCAACCCCCCCGGCGGCACCAGCGGCGGGAGGGGACGTAAGCTGGGGACGGGGACTTCTCCTCCGAACGGCCGGCCA